CTAATTTATATTTCCCTCTCGAACTGTGTCATGAATTTTTTAATCTTTTCCATTACCGTTAATCCTGTTACTACCTGTACTACTCTAGGATTCCCTCTGACAATTTCATCGCTGTGCTAATAAGGTATCGCAACTTGAACCAATATATACAGGTACCAGTTTCTGCGTTACAACTGGTTGACTGTGCATTAATGTTCACTACATTTCTAATTAAATTAAATTCAGATTAACCTTTTTTCTTTTTGAATTTCAATCGTACAGATTGCTAGTGGTATGTCGTATTTGGAAGAAATGAATTCTGTTCACCGAGATTTACGTGCAGCTAATATCTTAGTGGATCAAGATTACTCAGTTAAAGTTTCAGATTTCGGATTGGCTAAAATTATTAGCGATGATTCTCATGCTGATCCAAGTAAGAAAAACCTGCTTTCTCGCTTGTCATTGTGTAATGGATTTATGAAACCGAAATATTTACAATTTCTTCTGAAAGATAATCACACACTGTGTTGAATTTTCACCTTTAAGATCATTGTTGAAACGTTTTTATAAGTAATACTTTAATTAATAATTAATAATTACATCTAAAAACCTAATTAATAGTGGCACTGCAATTTACTCCATTTCGAAATAACACGGATATAGATAAATAACCCCAGATTTTGAAGTTGTCCTAACAATCTCATCTTGATTGTTAACTATTTTCAATTTTCATGGACTTTATATCATGAACTGCTCGTAGACCGCCATTAAAAACCGGAGACCATCGGAAAGCCGTTTCGTCCTAGTATAGGACTCTTCACCAATTCACACCGACAGCCACCCCCAGGCAGAGGATAGAACCTAGGACCTTCTGTTTGAGTTATGAACTTATTTCTGGTCACTGACTACTGAGACAAAACCTGATGCTATTCCACTGCCTTTCTGGCCAAACGTTCTTGTTAAAGAATCGTTGAGAGTAACTACTTGGTAAAACCCATCTGTTTCGGTTTAGGCAACTTAGCAATATGCCAGCCCACACGCAAATATTTTTGTGTGGCTCATACTATTTTTTGACCTCCAGTTATACCAGATTCTATGTAAACTAGATACATACGACAAAATTTTATTTTTATTATTTATTCTACCTATAGTTTATATAACAACAGAAAAGATTTTTTTTATCCTACCAGTTTAATATTTATATGAAGTTGGTTTTTTAGTTCATCTAATTGTTGAACTGATTTTTTTCTTTCTCTCCCCTAAAGATACTAAATTTCCTATTAAGTGGACAGCTCCAGAGGCGGCTTTACAGCATATCTTTAGTATAAAGTCTGATGTATGGTCGTTTGGTATATTGATGTATGAGATAGTCACTTACGGTGGAACGCCTTATCCAGGTAACCAGTGCTGTTCATCAAAATTTTTGCATTCCGTTTATAAAAAAATCGATATTTTGATTACTCGTGGCTTATTTCTATGTTACATATTTTGATTTGTGGGAAAAGTCTTTTCTCATCGCTTACTATTATATATAGAATTTATTTATTTGGACACATAAATGTTGGTACAAAGGAGCACCAAATACATATGGGCCACACAAGTCACTTGATTTGTGTGTGGGCTGTGAATACTGCCCAGCAATAGGTTCATACACCATTTGTTCCCTCAAGATCCTGGAGCCCATGTGCACTACTGGTTTCGAATCGGGGTTTTCCAACCCCCATAGGTGAATCCTCCATATCCGCCAACCCAGTTCAAGAGCCTGACATTCGCTTTTCGTCCTCCCAATTTCGTAAACAACACCCCATCACAAGAAGGCAGTGAGTAGGACTTCCCTGACAGTGGCCGTATACGCGTGGTTATATGAGAGCATTTGGAGAGGGAGAGCGGACTCTCCCCATCCTCGGCCGTACCAGGGCATATATAAGGGCTAGTCGCAGCCAACCATTTGTCGAATATTCATGATCAGTAAGAGATTTGAATACCTAACTCCAATGATCTAATAATCAGAAATTCTTATAGCCACAATAAAGTTCAAAACTGTACAATATCCTTCTTGTCTGTTGATTAGTGAAATATAATGATACTGTGGAATTGGTTTATTCAACGCATTCGGGGTCAGGTTGTAAATGGATTGATAGTAATTTGTCCAACTGTGCTTTCTCTTAATTTTTTTGGATAATATATCTCTGGTGATGTAGAATGGATAGAATGTGGCTACCAGTGTAATGGATGACATGCGTTTCGCTCTACTCTTCAGTTGGGTGTACCTGCATCCCAGAGTTTATGTTCACCCCGGGAGTCGAACCGAGTACCGTTCACTTCAAATGCCATCGGGTTATCCACTTCGCTACTGAATCTATATAGCAACTCACTTGTGCAATGGGTATGAGATTTAATTCAATTTGAAATATTTTCTCGATCAGCCCGTTGTTGATATTGTCGACTGTGGTTTAATCAGTCTTGGTTGGTGTATGAGCATCCTGTGCAGACTGTATAGATATAGCCATTGTTATACAAGTTTATGTACATTAGATGACTGTGGGTGACATGGCTCAGAATCGATCACAATGGCGTAGGTGTATACACTCTTTGTCTTCCCTTAAACTGAGATTAAAATTATTTCACATATTTCTTTCTACGAACTAATTCTTTCTTTCTGTACTACATCCTTACATAAAATCTTTCCTTTATATATTATACCATTGAGTTAACTACTTCTATGAATCCGGTGTTCGTCTTGCTGTACTAATGAGGTGTGGAAACTTGGACCGATACATGTGTGTGCCTGATCCTACGTTGTAACTGACTGACAGTAGATGAAATGTGGCCAGCAATGGAATCCAGAGCTCGTGTTTCGTCCTTATACCAACGACTCCTGATCAAATATGCATATTTTTAGTGGCTATTATTTAATGTTAGTCATTTGCCAAGTACAGATTTATGTAACGGGCTTTGAGCCACACTTTGTATGCATCCATAAGGTCTAGTGATAAGTTGCTTGATTCTTTAAACGATTTTGAAAATTTTTCCAATTTTTCTTATCAATCATAATGTTAATGTGGAAGAAAAATGTATCATACAAAGAAAAAATTCAAATTATATACTGTTTTCAATGAATAGGTTGAGATGGGTGTTTGGTTTTTTCTGTTTTGCAGTTGAACAATCAGTAAAGATACTAATCCGTATGAGTCTTATTAACAATCTAACTCGCAAATAATTTATTTTCCTTAATGAAATCATCAACCATCAGCAATCTTTATCGATCCGAGCGCTGTGACCTCAAGTTCACTATCTCAGTCATAATTTGTTCATCCGTATAGTTAGTACTAACTAAATAGTATTACTTAATTGTCGAATTCGGAATAGTAGTGATACGGAGTTCAAACTTACGATATTTTAAACCCAAGTTCCCTAACCATTAACTAACTCGTTGTTCTCCTCTTTCCACTTTCACACAGGTTCAAATACTAACTGTCATTGTTTAGATAATCCTTCCCCTCATATTAACAGTAACCTTCATCAAACAGTCTCCCAAAGTGTGAGCATACTAATTTGTACAATGGTTGCTCAGTTAAATTAAACTGAGTTGCAATGTTAACGTGATATGACAGGTAATAATTAATGCTGAAAATCAGGTCTCTTTATTTGATTGGTGAGTGAGTGACCTACGGATTCCAACCTCGTACTTATTATTAAATGTCATCTAATCACGTCTTCTTGTATTTAATATCTTTGGAGTTAATCATGTCATTTTACTCGAGGTGAAACCTACTTCTTTGCTGCCATATGGTTTTTTTAATAATATTTCATTTGCGGGTGTGCATCGACACGTCAATCTTATGAGCAGCTATCACTTGATCGCATAGTATGGTTTCGGTTCATCTGTCAGCCACATCATCATATTCATTCGTCAAATACTGAAACCTATCCTCCATAACAGGACCTCATCCACACAAATCATATTTTCTCACCCGTAAGACTGATAAACGTTTTTTGTTAGTTGTTACTATTTATCGGTCCATTTCGGCATTTTTCCATTCCGCTTCTGTCTAAAAAGTATTTTCTCGTAACCAAAATAATTTGTACTTGGGGATGTGGGAAAATACCTATAACTTTGTTTCCATAGTCTTATTGCATGCATATGTGGTTTTTTAAAATCTGTTCATTTCTGTCCATTGTTTTTCTTCTAGGAATGACTACCCGTCAGACAGTAGCTGAGGTTGAAAAAGGTTATCGATTACCTTGTCCTCATACTCCTGAACATCCTTGTCCTGATGACTTATACAATCTTATGCGAAAATGCTGGGACGCTAGACCAGAGAATCGTCCTACATTTCGTTCTTTGTATGATGTTTTTGAAAACTGGTCTACGCACACAGAAGCTCAATATCTAGATAACTAGGATCCAATCTTCCTTTTTTCTTGATAATCATTCCTAATTCATATTAATATTTCACTACGTGTACATTTCCGGTGAAGTATTTTTCTTTATGTGAATTCTTGGTTTTTCTTTATGTACATATTAAATATTCACTTTTTGTGGCCAGACTGTTCAACGTGTATTGTACATGCATCTGTTTATTGTTTTATTAGCTACCTCTCTTGTCATTAATTTCTCCTCTTTTCTGATTTTAAAAAATGACACAGTATCCTGTTGTCTACAAATATATCCCGCGCCACTAAATTTCTATGTAATACTGATGTTTTGTGTCCCACAACTCTGTCGTACATTTATATTTATATCCTTCCAGTATTTTAAAAGTTATACTGCTTTTGCTTTCGTAGGCAAAGAAAATAGCAATCGTAATTTCCGATGAATACTTCCAATTCGCATATAGATTACTATATAGGCCTCTGCATTTTCTCAAAATCTACTCATTTTAGCTAAGTTGTGTATATCAGTAACACTGCTAATCGATTTCGTTTTATATGTATTCTATAATTATTATTCGGTTTTTGTAAATTATGTATATCGCATTTTTAGTGTAACTTTTTTCTGATCCTCTCAATATGCTTTTTTTTCTAGACTACCTTTAAATAATTACATTACCAAACGTTTTTGTTTTTGTGTGTACAATATGAAGAGTAAAGTTGGCAGACAATTCCAGCACACAGCAAAGCTAATTATTATAACAATGTGCATCCAGTATATCTTAGTTCTTTTCTTTCTTTTTCTAATGCCTAGTGTATATCTGATGTAACCTGAGAAGTATCACTATTCTACTGCTGTAAACATCTTATTACGAATATATATACACCTTTTTAGTTGGAAACAAACTATTCAATATCAGTATCACTCTACCGTCGTAGAAATACCTGTAAATTCTGTGTGTGTTCCAATCCACTTAGTGCAAGCAAAAAGCATATTCATGCGATTGTCTATATCTATTTTTATCGCTCTCTCTCTACCAGTTAATATTCGAATAAATTAATGTTTGATTCATTTCACTTAGTGGCGTTTCTTTCTCATAAGGGTGATCTCAATACTAGTTGAATTGGTTCTTGGATGAGATTCTTAATGTCAATATGTGCGCATTGTTGAATCTGTATTCATTGCTCTGATTGTTATATAAATTATGAAACTAAAAGATCCAACATACAACATTTTCGCTCTTATTCTTGTTTCATGCATCCTTTTTTAATTCTGCCACTGTTTATTTCCTATGAATTGATCAATGTATTTCGATTGTGTGTATTATTCTTAGTCTTTCCTTTTATCCAACCGAAATGGAATTTTCGTGTATATGATTTGCGTTGTCTGTTCACAACAATTATAAATAAAATAAAATGTACTAAATTCTATTCAAGTTAGTTTTTTTTAGTAAATGTATTTTTGTGGAAATTAGTTTAACTTGCAGGTTATTTTGATAATTGATTAATCTCATTTGGCGTACAAACCAGGGATCGAACTCCATAATCTTAAGTTCTCGCAGTGAGTGTTTAGCCATTAGAATAACTGAATATATGTTCAAAAGCTCATCCCAAGTTCGATGCCTATTATCTCTTGTTAGCTCTGATCATATGATATGGTTAACAGCTAAGAAATTTTCATTCTCTATTTCAATTTAGATTCTATTTTTCCGTTCCTTAATATTTCTGGATATAACTTCGTAATTAATTCATAGATGAAATTCACTTTGCACGATTTGTGTGGATTTAAAGTTGAAGGTAAAAGTCAACTGAATCGTCATGTTTCTTTTTCATGGAGTTTGAATTGAGTGTAGATAAAATTGAAAATTGGATTTAGAATAATTAAAATAAAAGATTTGACGAATCCCACTGATTTCATTCGACTGTAAAGTGAATAGATAATATCAATCTAAAAAACTATTCAATAGCTGTTAGGCTCTTGAACACAAATCCCAAAATGTAGACTGAATATACTGAGATATCATTTTACTTGGTAACTTGTTAATTGGCTTCATCTATCGATATGGCTTATGTACTTTATCTTCTCAATTCAACCTAGAACGTAAACAGTAAAAAGGTGAACTTAAGTACCTCACTTATTTTTACACCAGTTTCAAATAATTGTTCCACAGTCGACTTAGTACATTTTAATCGTCTCAAAGTGAATGTATTCATTATTAGAACACATTCTCGTTATGTTTATGCGAGTATTCGTTAAAAGTCGAATAAATGATTTGACAGATATTAAGCACCAAGCCCATAGAAGATATCAAATATAAAAATTATATTTGATTAATCTGAATGACTAAAATGTAAATAATTGCGATATTCCATGTGGTGAATTTGCCTGAACTTCTACAGGAAGAAATAATGTATTTCATTGTTTTCCGCAGAGCATTTAATTTCGTGGACCTTCAGTCTCGCACATGAACGCTTAACCTCTAAACCACTGAGCCGGCATCCAACGGTGTTACTCTCTAACTTTAATGAATGCACGATAGTGAACGACCATCTTTCATTGTTATTTGTTAGTATCTTCCTCACGCGTGACACGGTTTAGCTCCTTTGGTAACGGCTTCTCACTAGAATTCTACAATCCCTTATCGGAAGAGGCACTCTATTTCTTGAACAAATTTTTCAGACTACTTGTTTTGTTAGTTTATTTTTTGTTCTATTTTCCCTTTATTTTGTCATGTTTTACTAACTGGTTTATTTTTAACCTCCATTTATGGGTTATCTTTCCCTTATTCACGTTAACACTAGTCATCAAAGTGGCAGTTGATGAGATTGCTAGCTATTAGTGAAATTACGAACCGACCAAATTAAGATAACCATTGAAAACTTGGAAGCACTGGACAGCTGCTTTGTCCTAGTACATATTCAAAACCTCACTACAGGAAATCGAACCCAGCACATTTAATCTTTCGAGCTATCATCTAGACCACTGAGCAGGGATCCAATAGCGTATTATTCAGTCACTTGGGGATTGTGATAAGAGCATATGTAGTATATAGGCATGCACTAGAGTGATTCTTTAAGTAGCTACAATAAATTTTGCTTTCATTACTAACCAATCAGGAAACATTGTTGTAATTAAATAGTTTGTATGAAAAAACTGGTAATATAAAGGTTATACATATTTTACATGACTAATTCATCCAATGAAGTTTTCGAATGTTTTCATATCTGTACAAGGAGAAGACAATAGTATGTAAATTCATCCGTGTTACAATGTAGCATCTACCTTGTCAAACGCTTGTGAAGATGTAAATAGTAGGGTTTCTTTTTGAGTCCACACATTATTTCCGGTTAGACTTTTGTTTTAAAAATTTGATTGATTTGCGTGCTATTTACAATCTAAATGAAAACTGCTGAGGATTTGATAAGCTCAGAGCAATCGTTTTCGCTCTATGATTACCAAAGTAAATTTTTTTTATAATTTCAAACTTTCTGAGCAGCAGACAAAGTATTTCTACTGTTCACTGTATTACATATAAAATGAAGTACGGGGATAACCATCCCCTTTTCAATTGTGATATGAATGTGCAATGTCTAACATTTAGTGTGCCAGTACTGCATATATGAGTCAAAATTTTACTGGGAAATTCATTTTAATCATCTCAGACTATCTACATTTCTTATGTGAACACCCCAGCATAGCTCATTTCAATTTACCGGATAAAAATATAAATGAGGTGAAATTTAGAACTTGAAATGGGATTTTCAGTAAAAATTATACTCTTACCTACATCATTCACTCACTGAATGGACGAAAAAATTCTGGATATAGGTTATATATTGAACATAAAGAAGTACATGCGATAAAAATCCACTAATATGTGTCCTCCATCATAAGTCGTCATTTTTGAATTTCGCGCAAAAAATTAACAAAAAAGTATGTCGATCCCGATTGGCTCGTACCCATACATCATACTTTTAGCTTATTCTTTACATGAGTTTACACTTAAACTTCTGTAACAGAGTAAATATTAAGTAAGGCTGAACTTCCTAAACTGTTTAACTCGAACTCATTATTTATGTTTTTGATGTATTACTAAATACAAATTTTGTATCCTTGTGTTCTGCTTATAAGCTTTGGTTTGACGCAAAAACTATTGTCGTTTATAATACATCAGAATGGTGTTTATGGAGATTGTAGTAAATTTAATAGTTGAATTCATGAGTCAATGTAAGTTAGACCACCATGGAAACACTGGATGGCTGTTTCGTCCTAGTGTGGGACTCCTCAGCAGTGCACATCCACGGTCCCGCACGTGGGATCCGAAACCAGGACCTATCAGTATCTCACGCGAGCGCTTAACCTCTACACCACTGTCAACATCTAACTTCAATCAATCCACAACTTAGTGATTAACCTACAAACAGCGAATCTGGGTGATGCGGATTCGGATACCACTAAAAGCATCGGTCTCCGCAAGGCCTCATTGACAATTTACAACTACCACGAAACCCGATTACGTTTAACTACATAACGAAATGACTTCAACTACTTTTTGGTTAGCTGATTAATTATTTTCGTCGTGCGTTTACGTTTATCAGTCATGCACTACATAACTGTTCATCAACTCAGATATCTACTCTTCATATTTACCAATACAGAAAATGAGATTCCACAAGGTGTAAAGTATTGGATCCGAACCGTACTAAAGCTAAACGTAGAGTGAACAATTATGAAAGAGTAAACACAATTATGAATGAATGTATAGAATGGTATCAAAATTGAAGACTTGTTGGGGGATAAAGAATAACATATATTAAGACAATTCGGAGTCATATCACACTACAGTTTGCGATGTGTATATCATGCAACATCTGTTCGTTGGCATATATTTGTGTGCCTCAGGGTTATATAATCGGGTGAAGTTGGTGGAAACTGTATGTATATGCTTGTATTTGGAGCTGAGATAAAAGAAAATCGAATTACTTAAACTTGAGATTGAATGTAATTCGGAAAACACCAAACACACACAAATCTAAATTCAAGACAATCTGGTAACAGGAACCAAAATACTAAAGGTGAAGTTTTGGATTATTCAAAATATCCCATACTTCTATTTTTAATTACTTAACAAAATACATTTATGCGTTCAGAACCGGTATCTCTGTCATCTACCCATCATTTATTTTACTGTTTTAAAGGCCACTTACCAGCTATTCGTACTGCGGAATTGTACAATTAACAGTGTATTTTATATAGACTGTAAAATTCTCTTTTCTAACCGATTACATGTTTTCCCAACGCTTTAAAGGTCGTTTTTCTTTTGATCGTTAGTTGTACCCTGTCATATCGTGGTTCTTGTACGCTTTCGATCTTCGCTTAATTTAATGATGTAATACAGCATTTGATTATGATAATAATTCGGACTGACTATACGAAACAAAATAAATTGTTTGGATGGCCCAGAATATATTAAACTTAATTAGCAAATTACAAGAATATAATAAGGTATGGTTTATGGTAATATTCTTCTTTGTCTAGTATTTCCATAAATAGTTCCCTTGACTAGACATAAATCGCGTTAAGAATAAACAAAAGCAAGACTTATTCCAGTGGACTGAAGAAAAAACACTGTAGTGAAGGTAATAGTTTATATTAATTTACAAAAGAAGCTTCCGTAAACTGATAGAACGTCGAAGAGCTTGAACCATTCTTAAAATTACCCCGTGATTTTAAAATCACTTTTTAGCCAATGAACAGAGTTTGCATGAATCAAACAGAACCCATTAGGACTTTAATGATTCTAAAAAGTTATTGGATATTTAAAGACTTATTATCAGTTCCACAATGATAATATTGTAGAAGAGGGATCACTACATATCTTCATAAATTTGAATGCGAATGTATTATCGCTAGGCGTTCCTTTCTGCACTTTATTCATACTCATAAGGTTGTATAGAAAATTCATCATCGCCTACCAATCAACGTACTGAAAAGATGAACCCTTATTTTAACAAAATCCTATGAAGAAGTCATGTCTATAAATTGTTACCTATATTAGCACCACTACTTTGTCAGCCCGTATTCTATTTAATGCATCCTACTAGTAAAATTATTTTTTTAAAGGTTTATTATAAACAACAGGAACTGATTAGTTCACGTGTTAGGTAAGTTAAAAAGTCCTGAGAACTATACCTGGGTATTTCTACTGCAGATTTTATATGAAGAAAGATAAAATCATCTACTTTCCAGAGAGTCGTTTTCTGATTTTTGATTGGCTTGTCCACATACACTTTTGCTGAAATTTCTGTCACTTTGATCAGTTCACTAGTTCCTATTGCTTGAAAAAGAACCAATCACTATATTTAGACTTGCTCTAACATGCAATCGTTAGGATTATATCCCAATAAAATCTTATCTCACAAATCTGCCA